GCGTATGCTCAACTACCTCTCAAATACTGGAGATATCAGCAGCCACAGACCACGAGCTGGACGGGAGAACGCAAGGCGGATTCCTTTGGAAAGCAGTGTGTGGGCTATGGCGTCAATCTTCTGAGTTAAGCATTGCCGAGAGAGTTGAAGATGCTGATTGCACCACACTGCCACCGTCAGATACGTACAAAACGCCGGTTCTTAGTTCCGAGGACCGTTTGTTTTTGAACATTGTGAATCCGACGAAGCTTCATGTGGGAGTTTGGGTCCATGGGTATGTTTACAGTCTACAGAGGTACATTGTGGGAAAAGGGGGTGGCTAAAGAAACGGGGGCAATTATCAAAAAGGCAGCAGTGCTGATCTGAGGTACAATTCGAACTTTATTGTCCAGGCTTCACTCGAAGCAGGAAATCCCAGGATTGGAATTGGAATCAGTTATCGGCTACATGGTGAATTCCAAGAATATGAGACTGGAGATAGATGGAAAGCTGATACGAGCAGATTGAGGTTTTCTTTTCTCAAAGAAAATTGTTGATGAGACGCTGGGGAACCTGGGGCTTCGCGCCCAACGGTACTTCATACTTCGACACAGGATCTTCAATTAGCTAACGGAAGATAGTGCTGTTTTATCTTGGATTCATGAGAAGCATTGCGGAGTTTGGAGGTAATCGTTCGATTACGATCTGGGGAGAAAGCGCGTAAGCAGCGGCAATGTCCACACAGCCTACCTCATTGACACAGCAGAATGGCGAAGCAGGTTCTATTGGATTACAACTTATTGCATACAATGGCCAAAACGATGGATTCTTCAGAGCGGGAATTCTATAAAGCGGATCCTCAATCAGATGAGGCAAGGTGCTCAGGATATTAGCAATGAAATCCGTGCTAACCATCACATGAAATAACCTGGGGTCAATGTAAATTATTTTGCCTAGCGAAACAAAGCGGCAAGTTGACGCTCGTAGATTTACCCTCTATCAATATACCAGAGCTTGTATGACAACATTACCTTCGCAACCGGCGGTATTAACGCAACGAATACGGTAGACTGCCTTCGCTACCTATCGTTCGAGACCTTTACAATGTTTTGAACTCTTCGGTCACCAGCGGAGATGTAAATATCGCTCTATTGTAGCAACCTTTCATCAACTTACACCACACAGCTCCAATATCCTGTAATCGACAGCAATTTCATGGCGCAGCCTCCAACTATCCAACTCTACAACGGCCAATTCGTCAATGTGCCTACTGCAACTTCGACGAAGGCGCTTCATTCGCATCTGGGAGTGTAAGCACCGACGCTGACTTTCCTGCATATATGGAATCCGTCAGATTTGTTACCGAGAACTCCTCTGTCCTTGGTATACTCTCTATCCTGTGGCCCGATATCCCGGCCATCGGCATTCTAGCTACCTTTACCGGCCGCCCAGCTGCAGCCCCTGGTGGCCTTGGGTTGCAATTTAAGCGTGCCTCTTTGATTATCGGAGATGCACTCATGCACGCGCCGCTGAAACTCATGACAGTGATCTGGGTTGCGAGTAACTCAACGAGTTACAGTTAACACTTTAACGATGTTCGGAATGAAATCTCGTACTCTTTTGGAGCTAATCACTTTCAGGAGGTGTCATTTGTAGTGAATAATATTGAGGGGGTGGGGTATATTCAGAAGAGTGGCAAAGATCCATTTCCCAATAAGCTGGACAGTTATAAGAAGTTGGCGAATTTTGATAACGAAGATGTGGAGTTCTTTCATGCATCGTTTGGATCCAAATGATTCTGGAGGAATGTTGAATTCTTCTGGGGAGATGAGTTGAAGTGATAACAGCTGACGAGTTTGGGGTTTCAGTGAAAAGTGTTGAGTGGCCTGTGTATGGAGCTGTTGATGGCCGGAATTATGTGTTCTATGCCAATGTAACAAATCCGGATTTGACATCGCGGGAGGATCACCCCTATTTTTAGATGGGTTTAAAAATAAGTCAAGCGAGGGAGAAGAAGCGAAGCTACTTGGCAACGCGAAAGTTCAGCGCAACGCTGAATGACGAAAAACTGCTAACAAAGACACATCAGCAGTTTCAATCAAGCCATGGGAGAAGCAAGCATATATAGTGCAGCAAACGGACGTGAATGGCGAGTACCATGGTACGGACACCTTGGCTGTATTTTGGTGTTCTCGTGTTAGGAGCAAATGACCGACCTCAATTTGGGGGCGGGCGCCGCGAATCCGCGGTGCTGCAGGGGTGGGCCGGGGCCGTAACGCAGCGCCAACCCGCATTCTCGTAACGCAAGTGTGGGCCATTTAACGACTACGTGTGCAGCTCTCGAGATATGTTTAGAAAGCGTATTTATAGGCAGTGTGCTGCGATATGCAACAGATTTAAGCTTACCTCTTGTGAGTCTCGTGGCGAGGATTGATGGAGAGGGATTAGGGAGGATGGTTGGGGCCGTCACGTGAAAAGGATGTGAGCTTGGAGGCTAAAGATGGGGTAGTGGGGCTTAGGAGGAATTGACGTGAGAGTTGATTAGGAGTAGGCTTTTGGAAGGAGCGTTTGATTATAAGGCTGACTGATCGATTTGCAACAAACAATGGGAATTCAGTTTCTGTATGCCTGTTGTTGTCGAATGCTCAGACTAGGCGGAGAATTGGAGCACGTCACGTGTTACAAGCGCGTAGCAGAATTACGATGTTTCAAGACTGCCTTGATGTTGGAGCGTCAGCGTAGCGTGTGTGATACAACTCTGCTTTTAGATTGGTTATTTTTAACGTGATCTGGCGATCTGCAACAAAAGCTGGAGAAAACGAGAGGAGGAGGGACTAGTCACGTGATAAACCTCTCGATTTGGTAGGCAACTGAGCCGAGGGGCTGAGCATTTGTCAGACGCGGCCGACAGAGTGCAGAATATCGACAACCTAGGCCTGTTTACAGTTAGAATGCCGGTAAAAATTTGGAAAAGCACTTAGTATGCGTGAATACTAAAGGAAAACTGGCCGTGGCTGTCACGTGGCGTGCTCACGGTCCATACACCGTGGGGTATGGAGAGTCTCATTCGTGAATATGATTGTTCGATGAATAACAAATTGAAAATATCGGGAATGCTTTGCTCTACGTTAACTGGCGTACGTTCTAACATCTGCCAGGAAACCACGAAGCACGGTACATTGGCACAATGCTCGAACCTCTTCGCAACACCACGGCTAACTACTACTTAGCTCTTTGAACCAAGAAGGTCTGCTCGGCAACTCCCTCGGGGATCCAAAGTCCACCGGATTTCCTCTTTCCGGAACAGCAACCGCTTCAGAATCCGGAATAATTTCCACCCGATGCGCCACCGTGATGACAATGTGGTCTCTGAACCCCTTCCTAATAATTTCCTGTATCCGCTTATCAGTTTCTATATCTACATTGCTTGTTGCCTCATCAAGAATCAAGATTTTGCTCTGGCGGGCATAGCCCGAGCCAAGCAGAAGAGCTGCTGTTGCCCCTGGGAATGAGGCTGGGACTTCACGTCTTGGTCCAACCCTCCACGATTCTCAATGATAGACCAGAAGTTAACTTTCGTCAGTGCCTCTACAACTGCGTCTGGGCTAGAAAAACATCTGCTTTGATTGGTTGACTACAGAAAGACGCCGAGGGCAGGCAAACTTGTATGAAGCAGTAACATCGAAAAACTCAACAGAGCCTTTACGCGGCCAGTGCTCATCCGGCACGAAATCTTCCCCTGGTTTGTATTCTGAAATGGTAGTTTCTTCGACTGTTTTTAGACGTGCGATGACCCCGAGCGGGGTCTCCATAGTAGTCCATGTTGCCACTGGTCTCAACAGAACAGTGCTGAATACCACGACAATGTTGAGAGAAATACCGTTTCGTCCGCTAGTTGTTGAATCGCGGAAGAACACAACACGCTGCCTACTAATATCCAGCACGTTGATATGAAGATACCCTGCTACTGCCTTTTTTAAGGCAGTTGAGAGTTGGCAGGAAAACGCAGCACAATTCAGCACAGGAACGAAGTTTCCTCATTCTAGCGATCCCCGAAACAATACTCCTACAATTACGTCTTCGAAACCTCCTCCTCGATGCCGGGAGTATTAAAGATGGGGTTATTATATGATCTGGAAGTGGAAGAAGTGCGTGCAGGGACATCTTTTCAATCAGCAGACTTTGATTTGGAGTGGCATTTGTCCTCTGCTGACGACGAAACTCCACAGCCTGTGTGGACAAAATATGCTCCACCAGAGCAGGGATGACAGGGAGCGTTTCAGTATACTTCATCTGGTTGGAGTCATGGATAAATATTGAGAAGGATAACTTCGAGCCGCCTGACTTGACAGGTTTGAAGAATGAGGAAGAGAAGAAAGATGCAACATCGAAATAATTCATGTCAACTCCGATTCATATTGAATATGGTCAAGAGAAAAATATCCGCCGATGGCGGTGAACTAAATAAATGACAAATTTACACTCCTTGTCTTCTTCCTTTTAAATTCGGAAAATTGCGTTTGGTTAGCTTGAAATATTGTTACCGCTTACGTGTGCATGACTGCTATTAGGTATTACCTCGAAACTGAAACATCCTTTTCTGCGTTATTGTTCGGTTTTGAGGGAAGTAACGTATTGTTATTCCATGAAAGTAATTTGTAAAGTGGCTATGGGTTTGTGCTTTGTCATGCTTGCTGATTATAGCTCTTGAAGCGAACCTGCCAAACAAAACTTGGTTTCATAAGCTGACTGCATGTGAGATATTAGTGTCACAATGTAGTCAAGTGTGGGCTCCGATAGGTTCGATAACTGATCGATAGATAATTGTGCTAATTAGTCGATAATCGTTAATTATTGATAATCATCAGTTATCCATTGATTGCGCAGTACGATTACTGATCGGTAATTATGGATAATAATTTATCGGAACCCACACTGATCTAGTCAAGGCAACAGGTTGACAAGTTGCTTATTTCTTAAAGCATGTGCCACTAACTTGCTTCAATTATTCAGATTCCCCATTTTCACCCCACAGCTGGTCACCTTCATTGCATTTGAATCTCGAATTTGTGACAAGATTTGTCGTTTTTATCAAATCTGCCCGCTTGAGACACTCTCCACTAACTCACAAACTCAAATCTACTCATGACTCAAACCCCAAAAATGGCGCCGCAGCTGGCTTTCCTGGGAATGGGTGCTTTGGGAAAAGTAAGTTCCCTCCTCAGTCTTGAGATACTCAACATGGGCTGACTCAACTTTGCACATACAGCCAATAAGCAAGAACCTGGTACTTAACGGCAAGCTCGAGAAATCGCTCATTCTATGGAACCGAACCTCAAGTCGTGCCTATGAGCATAGTGCACAGATTGGGAACTCAGTTGTCGCTGAGACCATCAAGGATGCAGTCTCCATGTCAGACATTGTGTGGTCTTGTCTTGCGGATCAAGATGCCGTATTTGAGACATTCGAGATAATCCTCAAGGAAGACATCAAGGGGAAGTTATTCGTGGAATGTTCGACTATGGCCATTGAAGCAACGAATGATCTTGCACGAAGAGTAGTTGATTCTGGAGGGGAGTTTGTTGCCATGCCAGGTAAGAAGCTGCCCCTTAATATTTAAATCGAGAGCGTAGTTGCTCACTATTCACGGGAGATTAGTATTTGGAGAACCAGGCATGGCGAATCGCGCCATGTTAACTTGTATACCGGCAGGCGCTGCGGAGTCTGTTCAGAAAGTCGTGCCGTATGTTGTGGGAATGTGAGTTGACAGCACACCAGTAAACACATATTCACGGGTTCGTGTGCTCAGGTTGTCCCAGCATAGGTAGATCCATCGTCGACTTGAGTGGGCAATCACCAGGAAGTGCTTCTCATGCAAAGATTGTCGGCACTGTGATGGTCGTTCAAATGATTGAAAGTGTCTCAGAGGCCCACGTGCTTGCTGAGAAGAGCGGGCTACCTGCAGAAAGTCTACACAAAGTTATCAACGCAGTGTTCGGTGGCCCTTTCTCGGTGTACTCCAATCGAATGATGTCTGGAAGCTATTTTCGAGAGGTAAGTAAAATTTTGCGGCGGCATCATTCATTCAATCAAGCTAAATAGCAAAGCCGGTTATAGCAATCGGAACGGCTAGAACTGCTGTCGAGCATGTTGCAGAACTCACTCAGCAGTCTAGCATCCAATTGGGTGCATTCAAGGTTGCTTCAATGCACATGGAAATGGTTGAGAAGTATGCTGGTGCTAAAGGAGATATTGCTGGTATTTATGGGGCAGTTAGAATGGAGAGTGGCTTGAAATTCGAAAATTGAGTTTGTGACAAAGACAAATCTTGAAGGCGAATTAGGTGAGGGGAAATTGATTTGTGGTTCAATGGCCTGCACGAAGTAATCTTACTTGTTCTCCCACTACGAAGATCACGGCATAAAGTGACGGGATTACAGGGCATTTGTGCTTTACAGCACTTCGGTGTCTTTTTTAGTGTACTCGGTCACTAAATTACCCTATAATTCTAGGCCATTGCCATAAAAGCTCGCTAGAAAGCGGGAGCTAGGGGTACCACACCCTTTTAGGGCTCATCCCCTGTACTTATAAAGAACACCTCGCTAAAGAGCCCTATAGTAACTACCCATTTAGCGTCCAAGCGCTATTATTGCTCTGCCAGCAGCGCTATTTACCCCTGAGAACTTCTCATACCTTGCGAATGTCTCACAGCGCCTCTTGAGATCTGCTTAGGGCATATGGCCTGGAGTTATAGGGCCTTACAGCGCGCTCAAGCCACTAAATTGTGTCCTGAGGGGTGCCAAGGGTCCAAATGCCCCGTAATCCCGTCACTTTATGCCGTGATCTTCGTAGACAAGGAATTACAGATTATTACCATGTCCAGAAGTTTCACAACAGCCGATGAACGTTCAATGGAGAAGTGGTGCCAGAAGGTAGTGATGTTGTGATTGTTTTAGGTTTTAGCTGAGGACTTTGGGGTTTGCCTGGTTGTCGTGTGGCCCTAATTTGAAACATCTCACCATTACCACGGCTCATACGACCTATGAGACCACTCACAAAGCTCGGGTTGGATAACTGCTGCACTGATTTGTTCAGGATTCGGTGGGAATATGCGGGCCACACCGGTGTGCTACTCATCATTACCATCACACCGTGTTGGGATGACTTTACACAATTTCGGCCTCAAAATCGGGATGAAGAATAAAATAACAGTTTAGTATGTGAAAAGAAATCTGCTGTTGGCCCTCGGCGTGTACAAGAGTATACCAAGCATAAATACGACAAGATGCCGTGGACTCGTGGAACAAACTGCAACACTTGCTCACTAATTCTCGCAACCAATAAGCTTCGTACTGTACTTCAATATGGCTTCAACTATCGCTATCTTCACGACTTTTCTGGTATTCATCTCATCAATATGTGCAGCTTTACATGAAGTAATCCCCTCAAACTTTTTGCTTCCTCCAGCTGGTATTTCACTCCAGGCACTGAATTCCGATGGGAACGGTTGCTTTCCCGTTGCTACGAGCATCGCTTTCATAAATAATGGAAATCCTCTATCCATTGATTGCAGCAACTTCCATGCCTACACGGACTCTTCCTAGGGATTTTTTTGAAAACAGCGGCTACGAATTGGTCCTTCAAGTTACCTGTCCACCCAATTGTCCATTTTACGTCCACGATCCCGAGTTCGATGGAAATATTACCCTGGGTGCCAGCGATGCTTTTGATGCATTTTCGTTCTTTGGGCCTTGGTTGCCCGACACTAGCAAAATAGTGTTTCACAGTGGAATCTGAATCAGTATCGTGTCCTAATATCTCCTCAAGATGCCGACCAATTTGAACTGAAGGGTCCGTATAATGGAACTTTTTCGGCGTTCTGTTCTAGTGAAATCACTCGAAAGTGGCAGGCGCCTTGTAGAACACCAAGCGCAAATCTTACCACTGTGACGCGATGGCATGATTTGGGAGATATTCTGACCACGGACATGTTGAATCTGGCGATTGCCAACCTTGATCACAAGAACAGTGTTTATGATGTCATGTGGAATTCTTGCTAGGATGGATAAGGGAAAACCCAAGCGTTGGATTTCGAAAAGACTTCCAAATTCATGTACAAGTCGCAAAATATAGCTTCTCTAAGGCTTCATTACATTTTCTGAACATGGTGCAAGAAATCTATTAATCTCTTGGCATAAAGCCGAGACTACGAGAAAACCAAGGACTTAATCAGGGAACAAAACTAATTTTAGCTTTTGAGCTAGAGAAGTTAGACCAGACTAACAAGTGGAGGCACCCAGGTCCAGAACAAGATCCATAACCAACACAAGCCCAATGTCTGCCTTAGCCGTCTAGAGCTCAATTTGCTCAATTTAGGCTAGAATAATTAAATAATCATAGCTCAATGAACACCACTATTTCCATTCCCTTGTCCCTCTCTCTCATCCAACCCAACACTTTACCCGCAGTACTGACACTGACAATAATATCGTCTGGCTCAACATCCACACTATTCACCTTACCATTCTCAACCACAATGGCATATCTCCTGCTTCTGTTTGTGCCAAGGAGAGGTGCGGCCTCAAACTCGAGGTCTAGGGCACGGGTAAAGGCTCGTTCCTGATATGCGCCGAAAAAGCGGATGCCGGAGGAGTCCCCGTCTATGGATTTGCTCCAGGCATTCATGCTTTTGCAGAGATTAGAAGCGGATTCTAAGGGGGCGGAAAGGGAGAGGAGGAATTACTTGCGCAGAACAGTGAGGCATAGTGAAGGGTTTAATTATTCATGACTGAGGTGAGAACGTTCCTCTTCCATGAAAACAATATTGTACAGCAACAGTGTTCTTCGACTTCATGCTCAGCAGTGCCACCAGGCGCCATCTTCAAATCCCGACTTGAACCAAGTCTCCTGATTACTCTCCGGGTCCAATGTCCAGTCCTGCATCGCAAAGTCCATGCTGAAATCTTGCCCACCACAAAATCCCATTGTATCATTCGTGCCATTGCCATTGTCCACTGGAGGTATTGAGTCATTCATGTTCGAATATCTCGCAACTAACAAGTCATAGCACATGTCTGCACTCTTCGTAGCGGTATCTAAGGCGCTTGCCCCGGGATCAATTCCTTCCTCCATAGCGTCAATTTGAGCCATAAGGAGGGACATGAACAAATTCCCTTTGATATTGTTCTCAACCTCGGCGATTCGATTGGCGGATAAAGTGGTGACTTCTCGCAGGCATTGCTTGAGATGTTCTCGACTGGCTTTTCCCTGCTCAGAGAATGTGATATCTTCTTCAATTTGGGACCAAAGTTCTGAGAAGATTACCATTGAGACGTGAACCATTATGCTTTTGAAGAAGCCACCACTTATCGTTTTGAGTTGAGCATAATCGTCCCGCGTACCGTCACTGACCATTCCTGGGGGTGGATAATCCGAACAAGGGTATTTTAGCATCGTGACGGCGGTTTCCAGACACATTTTCCGCGAGAAGTAATAATGGGGATCCTTTAGTCCCTTGGCGGCAAAAGGGCGGTGGACTAGCAATAGGAAACGTCTAATAGAGAGATCGAATAAGTTTTGCTGAAGCTGTGAAACTCTCGCTGACGGTTCTCGTGATTGATTAACTCTGGAAATAAAGGAAGTGTTTTCCTTGAGCGCTTTCGACAGGGAGGACCCGACGCGAAGAACGTCATCGTACGACGGTTCACCCCGGAGATTGTTTGCAAATCGAACGACCTCTAGGCGAAGTGGAAATGATTTGAGGAGCGCAATTTGGATGGAAGTCTGGGTAAAAATAGTACTTGGCTTCGCGATTACTGGGCCAACTGTGCTTTCGCTCATGTCGGCATCGTCAATGTTGGCTGGAGGCTCCGTATCAAAGTCGTCGATAGAGAGAAGCAAAGGCATGCCCGAGTCAAGCGCGGACTGAAGATTGATCTCCAAGATTGTAGCCCATAACCTCCTACGTGTTTCTGCTTGCAGAGCTGACATTTTCGGGAGAACCTTTGGGTCCCTATGGTAACCCATCTGCAACGCAGTTCGAAGAAGAGATCCAGCTGAAATCCAGACGAGGTCACCGGCAACTGAATGATCCTGGCGAGCTAGAAGTAAAAGGCATTGCAATTGAATGGCCGACGTATGCAACCTAGCTTTTTCGAACGGCGACGACAGCCAGGCCTGTGCTGCAAATATCCACTTCATTGCTTCACTTCGCCAATGCGTAGCGTCTCGACCCTGGTAAAGAAGGGTCCCTATCGACATAGCAAGTAGAAGTTTAAGGATAAAAGTAGGACTTGCAGCATTGGGGTTCTGCCAATACAGTTCGTATTCCTGCCGAAACGAGGGGATATGAAGAATTCGATAGACGGATTCGGAGGTTCTGAAGTAAAGGTCTACTAAGATATCCGCCACCGCCCTCGAAGGAACGGCCCCTCTGAAGTTCGGATTGGCAAGCCATTGTGTGTAGGGGACAGACTTGACAGTTCTTGCTAGCGACTTGCATTTTTCTGTCAATTGGACGATGTGGCGACCAATTGCGGATGCCTCTAGGTCGTGACTGAAGGTAGGACTCGGATCATCTCCATCCATACGCATCGGGGCTACTTTGTCGAACTATAAATGTTAGCTCATCTGTTTATGTGGCAAGAAAGAGATGTCTTACTACTCCATAAGAGTGCATCCAATGAGTTGGGCCAAAGAATCGAGTTTTCGATACCGTACCACGAAGTCCTTTGGAAAATGGGCTCGGATTATATGACTCGCATGTGGGGAAATAGGGTTGGGAACCCGAGCTCGCCAATTTCTTCTCAACCTTCTCGAGGCGCAGAAGGAGTGTTTTAGGGTCAGGCGGCTCGTCATCATATGCATGAGCACTTAGGGATGTCCATGAGCTGGAGTGGGTGGCCTCAGAGTGCGAAATGGCATTCGGCGATACTCCAGCTGAAGACGCATGTGCACTTGAGTCTCCTGGGATATCTCGCCGTCGGGTTGGGATACCCGCTAAGGATTGAAAAACTGTTTGAGGGCAGGCTGGACCTGTTTCGCTCACGTGACGAAGCGTTTGAACAGTGTCTGGACTGTAGCTGCAAGAGGCGGTTTTGGACTGCAAACACTGACCACATGGATAGGCCCTATCACATTTGATCTTTCGGCGCCGACATTGTTCGCAAGACAGTGCTGGTCTGCGTCGTTTTCGCGGTGGTGCTGTTGAGCCTGGAGGTTCGGACATGTCGCATCGGATCGGACGGGGCTACACCGGAGGCGGGGCCGAGATTTCTCCCGTTTGGCCAGTCAAGCCCGTTCCAGGAAAGGGGTTATGAATCGTGAGGCTGGGCGGGGATATTGTTATGGTACAGACGAATTCCCCGACGGTGGACAGGAGTTGAGGTTGTATTGGGGTCTCGCGTCTTTTGAAGGGGCGAAGGCCGAGAGGGCGTGCGAAAAGGGGAAGGCGTAAGAACAGGCGAGTTTAAGTCCGGCACGTCCACCACTCTCAACCTCAAGGATCAAGATCTGCGGACCACAACAACAAGGATGAAACGCCCATGGAGGCCCATCTCCAGCCTTACAGAACCTCTTGACGCGGTTGACTCATCCCTTGTGGGTCATTTGGCGGAGGAACATTGTTACAGGCTTACGAAACTGCAAGATCATCGCTAAAGAATAGGCCGATTTTGAGAATCGGTATATTCGGAGATACCGGCTAATTCAATTTAACCACCCTATGAGCTGCGCATGTACAGAGTGCATATATTCCAATGTCGCGCCTTCATGTTCTACATTCATTCCTCGCCGTTCTTGTACAGATCCTCGTCAAATACCTTTCCTCCTTTCAATTCTCCATGATTGTGTAATATCAAACCTGACAAAAAGATGGTGGAAGAAAAGAAACCCGAGGTGCCGCGAGAAAGCGACATTGAGGCTTCGATTGAAGGACAATCCGATGAGAAAACCCGCTGTCCTCAAGGCGGGTCACAAGAATTTCCAGAAGGCGGTTTCAGGGCTTGGTCTGTAGCAATTGGCTGCTCTGGGATATTGTTTTCAACGTTTGGTTATGTTAATACTTTCGGGTGCGTTCCCCCTTCACGCTGGACAAAGCTCTGGCCACTTCTTTTGCAGGTCTAACTGGAGCCAGTGTATTTCAAGAATATTACCAAACCCATCAACTGAGGCATGAGACTCCTTCAGCAATTTCCTGGATTGGGTCCCTCCAATCATTTTTCCTTTTCGGTGGAAGTCTTGGCGGCGGTCCCCTATTTGATAGATACGGTGCCAGGGTATTTTTCTCTTCCCTCTAATACATATTGCCGGACAATCCCTGACCCTTACTTGATTTATAGGTTATATGGCCAGCAGCAACCGCTTACATATTCTCCGTAATGATGACCAGCCTCTGCACCGAGTACTATCAATTCCTCCTCTCACAGGGGATTCTCGGCGGAATCTCAATGGGCATGACCATGGCTCCCGCCATGGCAGCAACTGGCCAATACTTCAACAAGAAACGAGGAGCAGCAATGGGTCTCGCTGTGGCCGGATCATCTTTGGGTGGAGTCGTATGGCCAATCGCTCTGGGGAAGATGCTCTACAACCCAAGTCTGAGTTTCGGCTGGTCTGTCAGAATCTCCGGCTTCATCATGCTTGCTCTTATCGGCCCTGCATGCGCTGCCATCAAAGCACGACTGCCGCCGAGGAATGGAACATTCTTTCTCCCTGAGGCGTTCAAGAACCCTCAGTTCCTTGGCGTCGTGGGTTCGACCGCTCTGATGATGCTTGGTATGTTCCTGCCATTTTTCTACCTGCCGACTTTTGCAGTGGCGAATGGAATGGGCACCGATCTAGCTTCGTACATCATCGCTATTCTGAACGCGGCTTCGTTCTTTGGAAGAGTGATTCCCGGCGTACTGGGGGACAAGCTCGGGAGGTACAATGCATTCAGTGCTGCAGCACTCAGCTCTGGCATTCTTCTTCTCTGCATGCAATGGTTAAACAGCAATGCCTCCATCATCGTCTTTTCGGCTTTATACGGATTCTGCTCAGGTGCGATTGTGTCTGGGATGTCAGTAGTCTTGGCACAAGTACCGAAGGATCCCAGAGAGATTGGAACATATATGGGCATGGGAATGGCGACTGTGTCGATTGCGGCGCTCGTTGGACCACCAATTGACGGAGCCTTTCAGACACATTACCATAGTTTCCACGAAGTGGCAACGTTCAGTGGGGTCGTGGTGTTGGCAGGCGGAATTACGTGCTTCTTGACGAAATACACAACTGGCAAGGGCATTTTCGGAAAAGTTTGAATGGCCCCACTTGAGGATAGGGATTTTGTACGGCGGTCACGGGAAATAGAATAACTAAATTGCATGGGCGGAGTTTAGATACCTTGTAATTTAGCACCTCTCTCATCTCAAAACTCTTCCCACCTTCCCGGTCTTCTCAACCATCCACTTCATAATCCCTCTATAAACCCGACTCCTCGTCGGAACAAAATACTCACTGAACCGATTTCCCTTTCTGTTGATCCTTAGCCAGATATATCTTATCAACATGCCTGTAGCGTGCTGGATCTCGGCGCTCGCAATCCGCCGAGTTGGACCTCGAGCCAAGTACCTCCTCTCGCATCAAAAGTTAACCTTAGCGATATCGTAGTTCATCTCCTCTTTCGCGTTATTCATATCAAGCATATTCTCTATCCAAGAAATTTCCCACAGCGCACCCACTTCGGCGTAGATGGTTGTCGGCACACTCGTCACAAACCCGGTGAAAATGAGGGAGCGATCGTTCTTCTCGACCTGGGAAGACGGTAGCATATGGCGATAGAGACGGAAGGGAATGTAATCCACCTATTGAGGGCGGGAAGTGGGAAGATTCTTCAATACAGGAAACTTCCCGAAGACTTCTTTCTCAGCTTCTGCTTGAAGCTCCGCTCAGTGGACATCCGTTTCGGGGGTTTCTTCGGTAGTGGTGCGGTTGTTCGAACTTGGAGGGCAGTCGGAGGGTGGAAGAATTTTAGTTCAAAGTCCCAGTCTTCGGTAAAGATCGCGGTATTGCAAGGGAAACACTCACTGTTTGGGAGGGCGGTGGTTAACCCGGAAAGTGAGGTGGTGCTTGCGCGATGGACTGGGAGTCTGGGATGAGGTATCTTGAGTGGAGTTCTTTGAGGAATGTATCTTTGCCGTGGTTGAGCGAGATACCTGTAGTGAAGAATAGTAGACTATTGAGAATAGTCATTTTATCTATGTCCAGAAAGGGGCGTGGGGGGAAATACTTCTGAGTTTCCGGCACTAGCTCCTTCGTGTTTTCGCCGCCCGTTTTATACGGCTCCATCGGAAATGGCACCGAGCTGTCTTTCCTCCATGCCCTTTGGAAGATCCAATTGCCCAATCGACTCTTCTCACTATGAAGAAATCGATACCAAAAACACTCGGTTCAGAATATGGCGGCGTCAGAACGGCCCAGAATTTCCGAGCTGGTCGTGCCGCACGAACATGGTCGTCCAAAGTCTTTACTCCTCCCATAACGCCAGGCCCATTCCCCTTTTCGCGAATCACTCAATCTTCTTTCTTGTCCTCCACGATGCAGAAGGTAATTGAACCTACTGTGAACTTGCCGCCACAGTAGAGCGTGACGCGATTTATCTTCTCTCCTGCGAGTTCTGAGTAATGGAGGCTGATGTCTTTACAATGAATAGCCAGCCCTCAAAAACCCTTCCAGTCAATGTCCATGCCCGTTGCGAATTCAACCCTGAGGCGGCAATCAATATGTCACAAGTCACAACCTGGCCTGAACCCTCTGTCTCAACATCCCACGCCTGATCATCTGCATTCCTGGTGACTTTCTAGACCCTAGTCTCCAGTTTAAGTCTCTCCAGCAGCGAAAATTTCTTTGGGTTAATGGTGAGATATTTATAGACTTTGGATCCGGGGAAATCAGTCCAGTTTTCAAACCCATCCTATCGCGCATGGAGAAGACGGAGAAGTCGAAGAAATCTGTATGACCGCCGGCCAGGAAACCGGGGAAGCATCGGTCTTCGTTTCAAACGCCGCCGAGTTTGCGGTTAGACTCGAAGATGGCGAGTCCGATATTAGGGTCGAATTCCAGGTATTTGCGTCGGAATATTAAGTATTGAGGACAGGAAAAGGGCGAAGTGGAGATTCAGACCTCTCACAGCCACATGCCCTGCTCAGCCAGCCCCAATGAATACTACGCGCTTGGGTGCTACTTCTGAGCTGCAGAAGGAAAAGTAAATCTATTCTATTTCTCCTCGGTTAGTCTATCTTACCTTTATGCAAGCTTATGCCGGCTGCAAGAGACGCTTCGTACTTCACATAAGGCACCAACCGGGCTCTCACCGGAGTTTCGGAGTTTACATTGCCCTACTTCTAGTGGGATAACTTGCCATGATATTCCTATCTGTCAAGGGGAAGAAATATATGTTTGATCGTGCGTCTAATAGCGATGTGGCGCTATACTGATAGGACTACGCTGTTAAATGATCCATGAAACCTCGTCGTCGAGGATGCCTCGCTAAAGACTAGGGGCTGTAGCCCGCTAGTTTACCTCGTGACAACATTGACACTTCGTGAGAACCTATGAATTATCAGAAATTTGACTTCAACTTGCCGGAAACTGTATCCAAAATCAACATTGGAATTATTTGATCTTAACTTGTCAGCGCTCGATTGATCTCTGACCTTAGACATCTCCAAGTCGGCAAATATCAGGTCTATGATTCTTCCAACTAGGATGACTTGAATCGACGACTCACTGTTCTGTATTTAGGGATTCTCAGCTATGCTCGAGACTTTAGATACCCGCAAGATTATTCATTCAACATACTCCGTCCAGTTTCCGGTCTAAAAGCTGGCCCATAAAATCGTCCCAAAACTCCATTCGTCTCCTATCTCCTCCTTCTTCATACCCAAACAATAGTCTTCCCAGGACCAACAAAGCTCCGCTATCTTTGGAGGAAACCACAAGATCTCCACCGGACCCTACAAGAGCGCGGCAGCTGTGCTTTGGTGGTTGAATAGTGTCCAACCTGGCTTGCATCCGCGACCTAGGCCTTTGCCTCGCCGCTGGAGGTAGCCCGCCATATTGGAGTCATGCCCTAAGGTTTGAGTTTTTGGTGGCTGGAGTTTATCTAAGAATTGGATATAGAGAAAATAGATTCGTTGAGCTCCGCGTTCGTCTCTGTTTGGAATGTTGTAGCTCCATATTCAGGCTCCAGATGTCTACCTCATGACTCCCAAGGCAAAGTCTACGCTGATTCGCAGAATTCTCTCGCACCCAAATCAACCCCTGCGTGCCTTTCATCCCCTCCAACGTGAATCCCCATCGCCATGCCGCTCCCCTGATGAAACAGCACATGGCAATGTAACATCCAAATCCCTTCATTGTCCGCCTTGAGTCGTATAACCACGTATCCTCTCCTTGGCACACTGACTGTGTCTTTCTTCACAGGGTTCCTCAAATTCATCACAGGCGCGATGGAACTCGCTCCACTGGTAGAGTACGGGTTGTAGCTTCCCCAACCATTTTCCGAACGATGAGAGGCGAGAACATAAAATGAGTACCCATGTAAATGAAAAGGATGGGAGCCATCATCTAAGTTATTGATTACGATATCAACCCACGCATCAGAGGGGATGTAGGGGATAAGTTGATTCTCGTCCCAAGCTGAGCGGGGGAGCGAGAGAAGTGGGGCGGATTGCGGGCTCCAGGAGGTGCGGTTCATAAATCCCTGTGGGTGGTTGGCGGAGATCGATAGTTTTTGCGTTTTGGTATAGAGGAGGATGGTTTGTTGGGCGGCTTCTGGGAGGGAAATGGGGTGGCGTGAGGTTGCGGAAGAGAGGTCGAAGTGATTTCGAATCATTGAGGCAGGAGATGGTGGGGGTGTTGGTATGTTTGATGAGACGGGGAACATGGGGAAAGACTGGTTTGGCCGAAGGGCCGAGTTGGTGTACTTGAAATTTCTAGGTTGGCTCGTTAGCTGCTGTTTTCGAAGCTTGGGAGGGGAAGAACATGCTCAGGATCGAGAGAAATATGCAAACGCGGGGAAGTTGCCGGAGAAGTATCGTCCCATGTTAAGAGCAGATCTACCCGCTCGCCAGGGTATATAATTCCAACTGAGTCTGGCGCAGCTCCCGTGATGGAAAAGCCACTATCCACGGTAAGTGGTGTCAACTTCGCAGACGAAATTTGGATTGTAAAACCCGCCAGAGAACTAAAATCGATGTCAATATGCGTCGGTATAGAGGGGTCGGGAGAGCTACCCAACGTTGACAAGTCTCAACCTTGTTGTAGTATTCATCAAATCCGGCGTGAGCAGTCCGGGAAATTGATTCCTTCCGATGTTAACGCATTCGACTGGTCGAGCTGGGGCGGCCATTGAGCAATCGAATGTCCCACGTCCGTTGATTAACATTGAGTCTGGGACAGGCTGGGCGGAAGTTAGCTTCATCTTCCCGTAGGAGATAGAACAGATAAATTCTAACCTCGTTTCCGAAGCCCCTGACGCTTGTGTACCATCCAAGGACCTCCTCAGCACTTCGATGATACCAATCACCAACCAGAAACAACACCTCGTCTTTGTATCCAGGCCCCTTCCCCTCGGATTTAAAATCAACTGGCTTATGCACCACCAGTCCACCATACATCCCATCTCCTCTCTCCACCTGTGAATGTGCATGCCACCAAAATGTGCCCGCTTGCTCCAGGTCAACCACAAAATCGTAAACGAAGGTTTTGTCTGTAGCAATGGCACATTGAGTGAACCCGACTGCGCCATCCATATTTATCGCATTTCGCATCCCTAGCCCATGCCAATGAATCGAAACCCCCTCCCTTGAATCAAGACTGTTCGTCACGTGTATGACCAACCTGTCTCCAGATCGACATTCAATTGTAGGGCCTGGGAAGAGATCATTGACGAGATAGACCTTTTTCCTGACACCATCTGGAGAGCGATAGCCAGCTGTGATATTCCAGTGATGAGTGAGCGTGGTGGGAGGGCGGGACATGTGGTCTTGGGGGTGCAGACGGATTCCAAGCATTTCATCGTGGCTGGCATCTGCATTGAAGGCCTGGTGAGAATCATCAGAGTTGGAGGAGTGCCGGAATGATTGATACAGGGTCGAAGACGATGTTCCTGCTATTGTAATGAAAAGCAGCGCCGAGAGCGCGATGCCGAGAGGTCGAAGCCATCTGCTGTGATCTGCACTGGCCTTCTGGTTTCTAACGTTCAAGTCGATGGATTGTTCTTCATCTTCTCCTTCCTCCCCTTCCTCTTCCTCACTCAGAAGTCCAAGGGCTTCACCGTTCTCGGTCGTGGTTCCGATGGCTGGCGAAACGCCTCTTCGCGAGTTCCGTCCGGTTTCCATGATCCTTGTCGCTTGTTCCCAATCGCGTCGCTATCACCACCTTCCTCCCTCTGCATCAACCCATCTCATATTTGTTTCGACACTGCTCACGTGAGAGCGACCTGGATGTTCACGAAGTTGTGATCGCGATATCGTTCCTGGATGGGCATTGGGCTGTTGCTCTTGCTCATCTGACCTCTGCTCGCCGATCCTCCGAGCCTAGGGCTTCCTCCCGGAACACGTGGGTGATCTGTGCTGCAGGTGGACTCAGATTGGCAGGTCGATGTGAGCGAGCAGCTTTCTCATTAAAGGTATTTCTGCTTGCCATCCCGTACTCCGTATAAGTTCTTGTACGGCGTACGCATCCAGGTGGATTCCTGCGAGTGCGGGGATCCAGGATTCGGAGTTGGTTCCTGAATTGCACGGGCAAGAACGCGGAGCAGCCATTGGACATCTCGTTATGAAAGGATTCTCCCGTGCCTGCTGCTTAACCTCGGGGCGAGCTGCTAAAAGGTGATCATGATCATCGCCTGAATACCGCGGAGCAGGCAACGTGCTGACCTTGAACGATCTCTCTCTCATTAACTGGTGTGGAGCAACAAACCGTTTTGTAGCGTTTTGTAGCGGGTCTTTCTTCCCTTGGTGCCAGCAGCTACTCGGAAAGGACAAAGAAGGCGGCCACGTCCTCGCAAAACGCCAAACGCTTGGTCAATCTCCCGAGCCCTGTTCAACAGTGAACGCAGGTCCATGGGCCCCTTTTTGTATTTATTGTAGGCAAGGGGCTATGCAAGCCGACGAACCCCACCTTCAGTTTCCAGCTGTAAGACCGTGGCTGCTTTGAAGCATATATCTCTCACGTCCAGGTATCATGTATACGATGTGTCTGCTGGAAAGTACTGATCAGTCGTTACGATGGCAGTCCTCAAAACTCTTCCCGCCGTCGCGGCTATGATCCCCCTCCTCTCTCCAGCGTTGGCTGGGTCTATTGCAGATATCGAGCATGTCGTCCTCTTCATGCAAGGTCTGTCCCCTAGTCCTCGCCCCGTTATCATCTCTAACGGCTATTAGAAAATCGAGCCTTCGACCACTACTTCGGCTCAATGGCTGGTGTCCGTGGCTTCTCTGACCCCAATGTCCAAGTCAATTCAGACGGCAAGCCAGTGTGGCAGCAAGCTGCCAACTCAGCTCTCACAACAAACACATCTTACCTTTTGCCATGGTACCTCAACTACGAGGGAGGAAGTTTTCTCAATGCAACCCAATGCATGGTAGCCGGCAATAATGGCTGGGAGGACAACCACGCTGCTCTGAACGGCGGCCTAAACAATCACTGGGCAACTAACAACACCCCCTGGTCTTGGGGCCACTTCAAACGAAGCGATATCCCAGTTCAATATTCCATCGCTGATGCCTGGACCATCGGAGACATGTACCAAGAATCCGTCATCGCATCCACGAACCCCAACCGCGTGACCTGGGCCTCTGGCAGCATCAATGTCCCCGGTTCTCCCCAAACAAAATCCGAAGGCGGATACCCATATATCGATAACAACGAGACTCCAGGTTGCGAAGCCAACGATTTTAACTGCTACCCCTTGACCTGGAAAACCACCGCCGAGTTCTACCAAGATGCCGGCGTCTCTTGGTCCATCTACCAAGACGCCGATAACTTTGACGACAACCCCTTAGCCTGGTTTGGGCAGTTCCAAGAAGCGTTGACAGGGTCCCCGCTCAGCACAAAGGGCATGGTAGGACAGAGTCTCGATGATTTCTACGCTCAAGCAAAGAACGGGACGCTCCCTGCAATCTCATACATCATTGGCCCCGCCGAGCTGTCCGAGCATCCGCCCTACTCACCGCGCGATGGCGCCTGGCTGCAAAAGAAGATCGTCGACGCTGTCACTCAAGGGGCAGGCTACGCCAAGACCGCGCTCATCATCTCCTACGACGAGACAGGCGGATGGGGCGACCACGTTACGCCCTTCCACTCCCCGTCCGGCACCGCAGGGGAATGGCTCAACGACCCGTATAACCTCGCAGGGTATACCTATTCTGGGCCTGGGTTCAGATTACCGTTTTACATCGTGTCTCCTTGGACGAGAGGCGGACACGTCTTCACCGAGCACGCGGACCACAACTCTCAGATCCTGTTTATTGAGAACTGGCTTGCTGCTAAGGGAAAGAACGTAGTTACCAATCAAATGGTGCCGTGGAGACGGAACAACATGTCTCCTCTACTCAACGCTTTCGATTTCGCAAATCCGGATTTCTCGATTCCGGACTTACCAGATGCTCCGGTGCCGCATATGACTGCGGACGGTGTGTACGACGGGAGCAGTTACTGCGAGTCTCTGTACGCTGTCACGAGACCGCAAGTGCCGTATGCCTCTCAGGTTGCACCCGATAAGGTGGGCAGTTTCAGTGAGCCGGGTTTCAAGGAGATGAGGGGCGCGTTGACCGAGGGTCGATACATCGTTTTCGAGTTTGGAGGGTATGCTCTTACGAATGCCGGGAAACCGGCGAGGGATTTTACCGCGACTAAGGCGTCGAGTGCGCATAGTGATTTGGCGCAGAGATGGGTGGTGCACGCGTTGGCTACCGCGGGAAGTGAGTTTACGATCAGTAGTGCCAGGGATGGGAGATATATTGGGGCGCATACGGGGCTGATTAATAGTGCGAGTGGGGCGGAGATTTACACTGTTGAATTTTTGGCGGGCGAAGGGTATGCGTTGAAGAAGGAGAATGGGAAGTACGTTACTGTTGATGGCAGTGGGAATGTGCAGATTGCTGGCGATGCTTCTTACTTCAAGGCGTATAGTGTTACGTATTCGAACTAGATAATGTTGAATAAAGTAATAATCGATGTGCTTTGATCATCCTCCCTGGCAAATGGGTGCAGCGTGAAAGAATTAAGAGCCAATGAGAGGCGTGTATTCATGAATCCGTATCTAGGGTATCAATGTTATGCAAATCGCGATCATTCAGTTCTCAACCTCAGCCTCAACCTTCCACTCCAGAGGCAATCCTTTGCCCACTCTCCCAAACATTCCTTCTAAATCACCAGCACGAATACCACGGCGCGCATGTTCACTCAAGAAAATCTTCAACCTAATGCCAACTTTATGGCCCTTCTTCCCCAAACCATGACCCGTCCAAGTCTCAAACTTCACCATTTTGCCTAGAGCATTCTCGCTTGAAGGGAAGGCAGGGGTCAAGGTAGCCAGAAGCCCCGCCACGGTGCCAATGTAGTCGCACCACCAGCACATCTCTGGTCCTATCAAAGCTTGGAGATTCTCATACAGTTTCTTGTCGGCCGGGCCTGGCGCCATTCCCCAGCGAGCGCACATTGTCAGAGCCAGAGTGCCTCTAATTTGGTGTGTCATCCCGGGGAGGCCAGCCAGTTGGCCAGAGATGGGGTTATGAAGAGCTTTGGCTGAGTTGGCATCATCAGGATCACCCATGTTCTGCCAGATATTCTTTGCGACGTAATTGAGTAGTTCTGCTGAGAAGATCGCAGGATAATCTTTTGGCAATGCGGAAGTGATACACGCGGCAATGGAATCGACGACTTCCTTCTTCTGGTTCGGAGATCCCGCAGGAAGTAGAGGAAGTGGACTTGACTCTCGGATTTCTGGTGGGAGCTTCATGAACAGAACACCTTCTCGATTCCCGCCACTGCAGAAAACGACTTCTTTGATCTTTGGAATGGCTTCAACCAAAGACTGGACGACGGTCACAATCGCGGGAAATTGTTCCCTCCTTCGTTTCGACATCCCATAGATCTTCCCCTCCTCATAATTGTTCGCATGTAGCATCTCCCTCCACTTGACGAACCTGTATCCGGGTACAACGTAGCCGCCTATTGCTGGTATGGGATATGGTTGAATTGGATCAGTATGCATGAGCATGCTTCCATATCCACGGAAGCCTCCACCACAGAAGTATATCGTCACACCGTCGTCATTCTCCTGCTCCTTCAGTAGCGTAAATTTGTCCTTCAGACCTTCAAAAGTATCCTTCATGCTGCTCCTGAGCTCCGTCTTGGCAGCTTGAGCGGTGTCTTGCGTGCTTAAAGCAGCCGTGAGCTTAGCAGCTCCAAATGGCATGCTTCTCGCAGCCTCAGCCGCTAACACATCGTAGCCAGCTCCGGCGGCCGAGTTGACGTATGTCATTTGTACGCTGCCGCCTCCAAGGTCCATGAATAGCCCGTTTACTTGTGTGAACCCACTTCTAGCACCCATTGCTCCGAACAGACTTTCCATGCCAGGATTCAAGATGTCAACTGTCAGCCCGCTTGATGTTTTGATGGCCCGCAGCATCTCGTCTCTGTTGTTTGCCGTCCGCATAGCCTCCGTGGCAAAGACACTAATATGATCTTTGTGTACCCCGTAGCTATCACATATGCCCTTGAATCTCCCCAGCGTGTCTGCAACTTGTGTGATGGTATGCTTCGAGAAGTGGAAGGGCAGCGAGCCTGGCATGGATTCATGCAGTGCATCATAGAGGGAAATGCCAGCTCTTTCGCGATAGACGCAGTGCAGCAGACGGCTTCGGGGAGGGGAGAGGTCAGATATCGAGAAGCGGATGCCGTTACTTGGGTGCATTAGAGCGGGAGGTTCGAGAACACGCAGGCATGGGGGAATACCTTCCCATGTCAACGAGGCCGTAGAGATGGTTCTCAATGTGATTGGGGTCAAATGTGGACATTTTCGCGCTGAAATTGTGGATTGTTATAACGGACTCCATTGTTTCCGCCATGTTGTGATATATCGATCGAGAGCGATGGGGCTGCAGTGAAGAGGAGGGAGTTGAAGCTGGAAAAAAGTTGCTCCGCGATTTGCCCCACGTGCAAACATGACAAACATACGGAAAGCCGTAAGGATCAAGTGATCAAGCGATTTTCGAATCCGGTTTTCAATATCTGATTTGTGGCACATGTGCACCCTACCAAAAATCGCCTGTAACCAAAATACCGTATTCTGCGGGCGCAACCACTATTATACTCGTATATATAACTTATATAAAGGTAGCCAAAATAAAGCTATTTGCAGTTACTAAATATACTAATATTTGTATTTATCTTTATTATAATATCTCTAGTACTTTCTTTATTTTTACTCCTATCTCTACTTTTCTTTTTTAATTATTATTAATCTGTTTTTAACTTATATAATTTATATAGTAGATTTTATAGATTATAAAATATATCTTCCTTACTATTATTATCCTTACTATTATCTCCTATAATACTCGAAATATCTCTATCTCTATTATTTTCTTTATTCTTATTTTTATCCTCTTTCTTTCTTTCTTCCTTTCTCTTTATTAGTCTCTTTACTTTATTACTTCATTTCGAGAATATTTATAGTTTTAAAAGTTAAGGTTTTATAGAGGCTAATTTGAGAGAAGCTAGATCTTTTAGTATTATATTAAGGTAATATAAGATATATATTTCTATTATAGGCCTTTAGAGTTCTTTTTCATATAATTAATATAAGATATAAATACTAAATAGCCTTGAGTTTAATTATATACTGCCTCTAGGTTTACTATAATCTTTGAATTATTTAAGTTAACTAGCTTTTTTCTAAAATAAAACTTTATATCTTAAATTTCTAGTATTTTATAAATATTTTTTATAACTTGTATTATCTTATTAGAAACATTAAAAAGCTCGAGATAAAACTATTTATTAGTAATAATAAGAAAAGATTATAAGGTATTTGAGAAAAAGAGAAAGTTTAATAGATTTAATAAATTATTATTCTAATATTTAATTAGTATTATATTCTAGCCTTTTATATAGGAAAAATATAACTTACTATTTCTTTATAATTTCTTGAGGCTTAAAGCCTTTATACTCGAGCTATATTATATTACTTATTTTTACTAAATAAATATAGGTTATTAATATTATTAATATTATATATATTATGTCTTTTTTCTTCTTTTAAGAACTTTTTTAATAATATAATAAAGAATTATATTTACTTTATAATAAGAAAAAAAGCTTAAATAATATTTAAAAAAAGAAAAAAAGAAATAAAAAAGAGATTAAGTATAATATTATAGTTAAGAAAAAGAGGCTTAATTAGAAGAAAAAGAAGGCCTTTTTATAATATTCTTTTCCCGAAAAGTAATTATAAATTCAGAGTTATTTTTATATTATAAAGGCCTAAAAAATATAAAAGAACGAATTTATAAATAATTCAGGAAATCGAATTAATTTTTCCAAGTTCTTTATCTTATAAAGTAATAATAAATTCGCAAATAGAAATAAAATTAAAATTAATAAACTAATTAGAAAATAGAATTAATTTTATAAATAATAGTATTTATTATACTAATACTACTTTTATAATAGGGAATTATAAGATATAATTCCGGAACTAAATAGGTAAGTTAGATAAGCTATAGTTATAGCTTTACTACTAGTATAATACTAGAATATAAATAAAGAGTTCCTAGTTAGGCCTAAAAAGTATAAGATTAAATTAAAAAGCCTAAATAACTTTAAAATTATATAAATAGTAAGTTATTTTCTCTAAATTTTATATTAGTATCTCGGATTTAGGGAATTATATAGTTATATAATACTAAAAATAAGCTTTCTTTATATATAAGAATAAAAATATTAGTATTATTTAATAATCTAGATATAATATATCTAGATAATATAATATAAAAACAAGACTATATTTAGAACCCTAAATTATAAAGCTATTTCTATATAAAAGTAAAATATTTATACTAATATAAACTAATATTTAAAGAATTATATATTTTCTTTTATTTTTTATTTTTTATTTCAAATTATTATTATTATAACTTATAAACTATATTATATTATAAGAGCTAATTACGAGATTTCTACTAATTTTACTTATTTCCCTAAAAATAAATAAGATATACCCAAAAGCAAATTTTAGTAAAATACAAGTTATTTATATAGGAATTGCCTGAATTATTACTATAAAGTAACTTTAACTCATTTCTCTATAATAGATTTAATTCAAAATGCCTATTTCTTCTATAGGTATTAAGAAACAATTATAATAAGCTATTAAAGCTATTTATATAAGTCAAATTAATACCTTTCTATAAGCTATAAAATACTATTATATTAATTATAATCTTTTAATTACCCGCTCCTATAGAAGACCTATAAACCAAATAAAGAAGAGGCAGAATAAGAAGCTTATAGAAGAGGAGAACTAATTTTTAAGGTAATATTATAAGTAGTATATTATTACAGGAGATCCCTCAGAGAGATACTATATTAAAGTAATAGCTAATAGTATTTATTATATTATAAAAAAGAAGCCTATATTAAAGCCTTAGTTAATATAATAGATAAAACGAAATCCAGATTTCCTAAAGAAGAAGAAATCAAAATCCCTAGCTACTAAATAGAAAGTAACTTATAAAATTAAGGAGATTTATAAATACTTTTGGAGATTTAAAAAAACAAGAAATAAGTATGAGATTAAGCTAGAGAATTACTAGAATTTCAATAAGACGAGATAATAGATTAGATCTTTAAAAGAATATATTATCTTTACGTTTCCTAATATTACTATAGTTTATATATCTAATCTAGATATAAGAGAATTAATAACTGGTTTAGAGGCTATAAATACTACTAGTAATATAGTACTTATAATACTTATATTTCCTGGCCTTATTCTTTTGAAATATAAGTTTAATAATAATATTAATAATAATATTCTTTTTATAATAAATATAGAGACTAGTACTGGGTTTATAAATAACTAATTAGCTATTAATTAGCTAGAATACTTTGAATTAGTAACTCGTTCTAGAAAGAAGATATACTATAGGATTAAGTATAATAGGAAATAAAGAATACTAGTAATAGATAACTATAGTTCCTATCTTATTTATAAGTTTATTAATTATTACTAGGACTATAAGATCCTTCTATTCAAGCTAATTCCTTATTCTATATACTTGCTTTAATTATATAATATGGGTTTCTTCTAGCCTATAAAGTAATACTATTAAAATATTCTTATAAAATAAATTTAATATAGTAGGGCTCTTTATATAAAAAACAATTTCCTTAATACTTATAACGAGATCTCTATTTATATGAAAAAGAAGAATATAATTTAATATACTTAGGTAAAAGCGGGGCTATAGCTATTTAATCTATTAATTATCCTTAATAAAATAGAGAAAATAGAAGTATTATATTTCAGGGCCTTTAATCCTAATTAATTCAGAACTCCCGAGCCTGAATTTCTTTTATCTAATTAAGAGATAGACTAGAAAACTATAAAATACTAGATAAATTACTAGTTATAATTTAATTATATAGTAATTATATTAACTATTAAATCTCGTCTATAATTAAAGATATAATTACCCTTATACCAAGTATTACTCGTATTATAAATAAATAAAATAAGGCCCTAAATATTATGGTTTTAGATAGAGTTCTTAAGAGAGAAAAGCTAAATAAAAGAAGAGTAGAGGAGGCTTATAAGGCTAGATATAAGATTAAGAAAGGAAATCGATATATACTTATATATTATAGAATAATTCTCAAGGGAAATACTAGGCTATATATTATAGAAAGGGCTTAATTCCTTATTTAGGAGAAGGTAAAGCATTAATAAGTACTTATTAATAGGGAATTACTATATATATAATAATAAGGAGAATCAAGGACTAATAAGAGGAGAAATGTATTATAGAGTAGTAATATAGGTATTAGATAGCTAAGTTAATATACTTTTATAAGACTAAGAGCTATATATTATTATCTATTAATAATTAATTCAATTAAGTACCTTTATAGTACTATATAGATCCGTAGAAATTAATTTATATAGTAATTCTATATAAATAACTTGTATTTTACTAAAATTTACTTATTAGTATACCTTATCTATTTTTAGGGAAATAGGTAAAATTAGTAGAAACCTTATAATTAATAGAATTAATTCTTAATTATACAAACGGTATTAAACTTAAATTAAAGAACTTTATTATATTTAAGAAATTTTTTTTTAGAATATTAGATATATCTTATAATTAGAAGAATTTAATATTAGTAAAACTAGCTATATTACCTAACTATAATAATAAAATACTAAATTCTCTTTAGATTAATAATAAGTCAAGCTTAAGAGATATCTCTATAATAAGAAACTAGTTAAGATAATATATTATTTCTAGTATTAGAACTATTTATCTAAATATATACTTTAGATCTTTAATTATAAACTCAATTATTCTAGGCTTAATATATATATTCTAAAAATAATTCGCTATTATTATAAGCTTTAGCTAAAATAAAATTAATTTAATACCGAGTATATTAATATCTTTAAAAAAGCTAAAGAATTTATTTTCAAGAAACTAAAAAGTAATTAATTAATCCGGTATAGTTATAAGAGAATATATTATTAGGTCTAAAAAAATACTAGTAAATTTATATTTTATAAAAAGATATAGTAAATATTTAGAATATTAAATAAAGTAGAAATAAAAATATAAAATAAATATAAAAATTAGAAATATAGAAGATTTATTATAAAAAGGCCAGATTAATATTAGTTTATAAATAGATATAATAAGTTATCTTATTATAGCTTCCAGATCTATAATATTATTAATATATATTTTTAAATAATAATTAGTATTTTTATTAATATATTAAATTATATATAGATTATTATTCTAAAGTTCTATTTCTTTTATATTAAGAAATAAGACTATTTTTCAAAAAA